AAAGTTCTAGCTCGAGGTTACGCAGATTGAAGAGCAAATGAAATGTTACTCGTGTGCTCATAAGATGCCATTAAGAATCTGCTATATACTTGGTCAATATCCTCAGGACCATGGAAACGGGATCTTATCAACTTCTCGGATTCAATGAATCAACCGTATTCCGTTGTAATGAGTGATGCCTGTTCAAAGTGTACAGAGATAGTTCATTTCAAAATGATTTCGTTTCAAGTCCCATTCTTATCTTGGGATATCTGTTCGCATAATTTGGGATTCCCGAAACTCTGATCACTTTGAATGGGACTGAACTTCGCTCCACTGATTCTGGTAAATTCTATCAATCTACGGACTTTCATCCTGCAAGCAACTTTTCGCCTACCATGTGCATTCAAATGGTTAAGCGGACCGCGTTGTGTACACGATTAACAGTTCTTCCTTAAAGCTCCCCGCTGAAGGCAGATGACTCAGAAAATGGGACCGATTTCTGGTGACGTGTCGCTCAGCTTCTAATGCATTTTCCCCAAACAACGTGTCCCCACCAGCGGAAGGCTTCTGAGACAGGCGCAGACGAATACAGTCATTATGACAACAACTCTGCGGAATGAGCCAATAGAATGTCACTTCCACAGACATCATGGTGTAAGAACACGAAGTTTCAATGAACGGGATGGAGTTTACGTCCTCGAGTTCCGCAAAAACCGCAAACAGTAATCGAGACAGGGAAAATTGTGAAGCTACTGGGGACTAGTATACATGGTGCTCTGTTAGACAATAGCATGTCTAAACGACATGTTAACCACATCAGGAAAATTTATCAAGTATTTCCAGCAGAGGATAAGAATCAGATAGAACTAGCACCTGACCTAATGTTGGATGCATTTGAATTACAGGGCAGCAGAAAACATTATCCAAGTAAACCGACTCCATATATATGAATAAGCGAAACATTCGGGGCGTTCCCCTTGCCTAATTCAGAGATTTATCGTCGTTCCTTACAAGAAATCGTACGAGTCAGTCTCCATTCTCTCTTCTTCTATTCACACACGCACACACACACATATATATATACATATATATATATTCAATCACAGACAAATGTGGGCTTCATTTGATACAGTTTTTAGGCAAAAAATGATGACTGTTAACAAAAGAACTCAGGACAGTGTATTTCATATTTACTGATATTAAAAAACGAATCACACAATAAATTAAATATATAATGCACCTCCTCCCGAGGTCACTTATTGGAGAACAATGACAGTGACACTACTATTGCACTTTCTTATATTAAATGGGTAGTTGGGTAACATCACTTTCTCGATGGTGTAAGCGATCAATCGAAAAACAGTCTGGATATGATTAGAAAGAAAACAACGGAACACAGGACCTCTATCTGGGCAGATTGACCATTGCCACACACGTCTGATGCCCGTGTGAAAACAAATCCATATGTACTAAAAACAAATGTCTCAAACAGTCAAGACAGGAAAACAAATCACCGCCCTAGAGTGCGTTTTTTTCTAGTCTTCACCAGAAGCGAGTAGTCTGCTAGGCAGTATGTGGTATGCCGACTAACAGTAGGCAGTCGACTTCTAACCATGATCAGTCAGCTGCATCCACGAGCGTAGTCACGGGTTAGGGGGTTATA